TCCTTGAATTTGATTGGTCTACACCCGAGACGGCTTTTCTTAGAGCCTAGTCTCCACTGGTGTTGGACCAGAAGACGCCAAAAGGCGTTTTTTGTGCCAGTTAAAAGGGTAAAACCTATTACTATATCTTGTTACTGGCAAAGGAGGTCTCATAATGTAAATGCTCACCCCGAGCCCTCAATACTCTGATAATGCACTGTTTTTGAATTGTACGCCTTTTGGCGTCTTCTGGTCCAACACCAGTGGAGACTAGGCCCTAAGAAAAGCCATCTCCGGTGTGGACCAATCAAATTCAAGGACAGTGCATATTATTATCAGAGATGTCTCTTTTGTTTGCATTTTGACTGCTTGTGTTGTGGTTATTGCAAACATGATGCCTTGAATAAAGGTGTCAGTTTTTGTGCCAGTTAAAAGGGTAAAACCTATTACTATATCTTGTTACTGGCAAAGGAGGTCTCATAAGACAAGTAGCCTTCTTCAGGTGAAGAAACAGGACTATCCAGAAGACAGCGCTTGAGTGAACACTGCCAAGCATGGACAGCGTCTTTTAAGCTGTGTGGGAGGAATTAACATATGAATTGGCATGTTAATATGAGTTACAAGCTTTGGAACGGAGGAGGGGGGCTGGGTAAAAAAAAGAAGAAAACAGCCACAGTAAGCTGCTCTGTCCTGTGTTGCATTATAACTATGCTATAAAATCGACTACAATACAATATTATACCTTCCAATCTAAACTACATGGTATAATATCATATCCATAGACAAATTCCACCTTTGAATTATACAATCCGTTGCTATACACTATCCTATACTTTAGACTATAAAATATTAGACTTGTAATATTACAACATGCTATAAACCATACCATTGACCGTCGTGTGAAAGGTATTAAGAGGCAGTGCCAGCGAATGGACAGCGGTCTGAAGGTCACCGTAAAATAAATCAATTAAGAACCAAACTGATTTATAACATCTTTCCAATGGTTACTAAGCCAGAATCCATCTTCTCGGTTGAAATTGTCTCTGTGTTTGTAAATGTGGATAGCCTCATGAACGAATCTCTCATGGTAGTCGGATGGCTTGCAGATAACCTCCGTCTTGGAGAAGTCAATGTCATGTGAGTCCACTGAATTATAACAGTGATCTGCCATGGCTGAGGAGTTCGTCCTACCGTGTTTCAAGTCTGCTTTATGTTCACAGATGCGGTCCGAGATATGTCGTTTGGTTTCTCCAATGTAGCTGCTACCACAGAGGCAACTTAGTTTGTAAACGCCCGGGTACTGTATGTCTGGAACCACATCTTTTACAGATGGAACTAGATCACGGATTTTATGTACTGTGTTGAATCGGACCTGGATCTTGTGTTTATTCAGGATTTTGGAGATCTTTTTTGTGACCCCCGCAATATAGGGTAAGGTGATGGTTTTGAATGGCTCCTCAAGAGGAAAAAAAAATTGAAACTGACGCAATTCAAACTGCCACTCTACGCCCGACTTTATGGAAGAGGTACGTGGATGGCACTTTTGTCATCTGGCCACATGGCCGGCCTGCTCTAGACCAATTCCTCGACCACATCAATTCCATACACCCAGCCATCAGATTTACCATGGAAGTCGAAAAAGATGGCAAGCTACCCTTTTTGGATGTCCTAATTAAAAGGAGACCTGATGGTTCAATGAGCCACTCTGTCTACAGGAAAGCTACCCATACGGATGCTTACTTAAAACCAGATTCCCACCACCATCCATCCCAGAACTCCCTAATCAAGACTCTATACCATAGAGCCCAATGCATTTCCGACCAGGAACACATTGCCAGTGAACTCAAGAACGTACACCAAGCTCTCAAGGCTAATGGTTACTCCATCTACACAATCCACAAAGCCATCACTCCAGTCATGAAGAAGGATCCTCTTGAGGAGCCATTCAAAACCATCACCTTACCCTACATTGCAGGGGTCACAAAAAATATCTCCAAATTTCTGAATAAACACAAGATCCAGGTCCGATTCAACACAGTACATAAAATCCGTGATCTAGTTCCGTCTGTAAAAGATGTGGTTCCAGACATACAGTACCCGGGCGTTTACAAACTAAGTTGCCTCTGTGGTAGCAGCTACATTGGAGAAATTAAATGACATATCTCGGACCGCATCCGTGAACATAAAGCAGACTTGAAACACGATAGGACGAACTCCTCAGCCGTGGCAGATCACTGTTATAATTCAGTGGGCTCACATGGTATTGGCTTCTCCAAGACGGAGGTTCTCTGCAAGCCATCCGGCTACCATGAGAGATTCGTTCATGAGGCCATCCACATATACAGAGACAATTTCAACCGAGAAGATGGATTCTGGCTTAGTAACCATTGGAAAGATGTTATAAACCATTTCGGTTCTTAATTGATTGTATTTTACGGTGACCTTCAGACCGCAGTCCATTTGCTGGCACTGCCTCTTAATACCTTTCACACGACGGTCAATGGTATGGTTTATAGCATGTTGTATAATAATAAATAGTATAACATTGTAATGTTTAGCATAATTCATAAGGCAATATATAGTATCGTAATTGTATAGTGAATATACAATTGCATAATTCAGCAGTGTGGTATACAGTAGGGTTGATAGAATAAGACAGTGTAATATTACAAGTCTAATATTTTATAGTCAAAAGTATAGGATAGTGTATAGTAACGGATTGTATAATTCAAAGGTGGAATTTGTCTATAGATATATTATACCATGTAGTTTAGATTGGAAGGTATAATATTGTATTGCATAGTAGTCCTGTTTATAGCATAGTTATAATGCAACACAGGACAGAGCAGCTCACCGTGGCTGTTTTCTTCTTTTTTTTTACCCAGCCCCCCTTCTCCGTTCCAAAGCTTGTCCCTCATTAACATGCTAATTCATATGTTGATTACTCCCACACAGCTTAAAAGACGCTGTCCATGCTTGGCAGTGTTCACTCAAGCGCTGTCTTCTGGACAGTCCTGTTTCTTCACCTGAAGAAGGCTACTTGTGTTGTGGCCGAAACGTCGTGAGAATTTCATTTTATTACGTTTTATTTTTATTATTTTATTTCCATTCTACGTGACTTTATCGAAAGAACCAAGAAGATCACACTACTTCATTGTATGTTTTAAACAACGATTAGACGGTGAGGTGCTTGAATAGGTTGGTCATTATCTGAGAATGTAAAGAGAGGGAACACCAAAAAAATTGCATGGAATGGGTTCCACTTGTATGTATGTTGAACTTATTTCACACCGTACGTAGCCCAATAGTACTAATCGGAGATGTGGGATCTAATCGGAGGTGACAGATGAGCTTCGGAGAGACCAAGAAAACAATGACAGGACACCAACTAAGAAGACTTCATGGAGGAAGACGCTCCGTCACTGAGAGAATGTTGACATAGAACCAGACAAAGTGAAGGAACTGGATCGCTTCGTGTGCCATTAGGTGATCAACGGTGACAGCCCAGCTTCGGACCCAGGGTCTCAGCAGTGCTGGATCAGTGAACCGAGATGAGCACGGTGAGCTCCTGAAGCAACCCATTCAACCATCTGCCTCCACTGCCTCCTACGTAGTGAGCACGCCAGTGGCGTGAGATTAAATGGGCATGGGTGGAGAAGCAGCGATGTGTGGATTCACACACGAAAACACAGACAGGAGTAGACAGGTGCATGGAATGCAGGCACAGCCCCTGAACCCATCACTGCAAGCAGCAGCAGCAGCAGCAGCGGCGGCTGCTCCCTGCAGTGATGGATATCTCACCTGCGTGGGGCAAGCGATCACGGTCACCGCCGCATTTCGGCATGAGCAGCAAACAACAAAGTCACAGATGCCAGCGTGCGTTACACTTCGCAATATCTATCGAGCTGGAAATATACTGAACGAAGCATATGCAAATGAGATGTTACATATGGTCCACACATGTGAACGGACGACAATCTTAACTAATTTTATTTTACCAGGTAAGGCCCACTGAGCCATATAGCTCTTTTTCATAAGCGACCTGGCCACAAATGATAGCTCAAGGAAGTGGCTTATCACGTGGGAATTATAGCAGCAAAATACTCTAAGCAGATGTTTCTAAATGTGGACGGATAAACCGGAGGACCAGGAGTAAAATCCACGTGACCACGGGGACAAAGACTCGCAAACTCTTATATACAGCAGGCACCATGGTCGGGATCGACCCCACGACCTCCTGCATAAACAGGCAAGGTAATTAACACCTCAACACCATGGTGCCCCAATGGAGTAAAACACCAAAATTTTGATTGAGTAAAATTGGGAGTAAAAAAAACAAACGAACGTGTACTCCATTAACAATAACAGTTGTTACACAAAGGCTACAACGCATGTAATACAAATTTTCTGAGCAACAAAGAGAACTCGGGTAAGGATGGCAATTGAGAGCTGACACATTTCTCAAATTAACGCTGTGCTGTGCGAGGAATGAAAGGTGAGACACTGAAGTGATGCAGCTGCGTGCACTGTGTATGAGACGCGTCAATGTGCAGATCACGTCAGAGAATTCAAAGGCAGAATCAAGGCACACATCTCTTTAAAAACGACTATGAAAAAAGCAGCGGCAGCAAAGCAACAAGGAGCAAACAGAACGGCGATGAGAGAGAAATTGTCGCAAGGTCGCTGAACGTTAAATCGTAAAGCAGGTGGACGACTTTACACTGGACTCTGTCGCAAATATGACCGCTCAACTCCAAATGGCAGTTCTATTCCAATCTCAGCCAAACGTTGTGCTTTACATATTTGCTATAGATGGATCTACAATACCAGGGTGAGAAATGTGGCTCGGTAGTTTCGACACGGACATTAACCACCCCGATCCGACCACCCTCCCACCTAAATGTCCACTTGTTTCGTTTGTTGTCCTTCCCCTGCACCTCCGATCAGCACATTTGGCGACGTACGGTGCGAAAGAAGTTCAACGTACACAAGCACGCGCACACGTGGTGCGTGGCGCTCACCAGACTGTGGTGTCCGTGTGCTCCTCGCTGTGCTGCCGGTAGTCGAGCTGAGCGAAGAGTGGGAAGAGGACCTGTACTCCGCCAATGGAGTGGATGGCGCTGTGGATCGAGTAGGTGATGATGGCCTTGACATCCTGTGCAGGCAAGGCACGCGGGCAAACGGTCAGCAGGTGCCTACTCCCCGCGCAACACCCGCAACGCAAATTCCGCAGTAGCCATAGCCGGTCGCAGTGCATCCCTGCGAGTGGTGGAAATTGTATATTTGTTGGCACGGAACAGTGTTGTCATAGACAGACCGTTATTGACTCCTTGCAAAGTGATTTGGTTAGGGAGGAGTCTCATTTAGAACAATCCAGAAAAGTATTTAATACGTGGATCGGGCACATTCTCGGAGGTGAACACCTGATTCCGGATATTCTAGAAGTAAGGATGTTGAGAAAGAGGCCAAGAGGCAAAGAAATCGATTCTGTTTGATGACTTTAAGGAAGGAAAGGGGGAGGCCGTGCATTGAAACCAAGGGGAAAGCTCAAGTTTGGAGAGGATGGAGGGAGCCTGAGACTAAAGACTTGCCATTGAGCAGAGGACCACAGAAGAAGTTTGATATGATCATCACGAAGGCGGTAAGAGGCTAAGGTAAACCACTTACCAGGACACAGACTCAGAGCCTCTGATTGAAAGTTAAAACAGGAGGAATTAATGGTGCAACGCATCTCATCTGTTAAATATCTGCAGGTAAGAGGATTGTCATAGATTGATCCTGGCTGCAGAAATTGGTAGGTCACAATTAATAATTAAGATAAGAGAGCAGTTTCACTGTATTATGCATACCGTTATGACAAATAAAGGCCTTAAGTCGTGTAAGCAGTTTGAGCAGCTTTGGATAAGACTTGTTATGATCCTGCCCATACCCGAGCATGGAGTGCATTCGCTTGTTCAGCTCTTGTGTGCGTTCATCCTCGCTGCGCTTGGACACGACACGACAACAGAACGATCCACGCCAGGTGGGGCGCGGCGTTTATGTGCGTGGTGGGACGGACGCAGTTGCCAAAAAGAAATAAATTAATTTCGATTTTGACTTCTGTTTATTCGGGACCCCGGGGTCCCGCCATAAGGTTCATATGAAGAAAGAAAAAAAGAAACTAGCTCTTGTCCAAGGCATGTGGAAATTCCACCACTGTCTCAGGGCCATGGGTGTAAAATCAGAATCCATAATGTCCAGTTAATGGTATAACATTATTTATATGTATGTGGAACTTCTATCTTTGAACCATGGTTAGATATGCTGTTTACGAGTGCGTGGAGCTGCACTCGGCTCAATGATCCAGGCGAAGACGTCCTGATGGCACGATGCGGGGTGAAGAGCCCCATCTTTTAGTGTTATGGAGAAGAGGTGAACTGGTATCTCGTGGATCTCATCTGGCATAATGCAGACGAGTGATGTACCTACAATTCTCTGATTAGGAAGACGAGGGGAAATTACGAGGAGGCAGATTCAAAAGAATATATTTTTTAACATCATTTTTGGAGCCTGCAGAAATCAAAAGGTGAGATGAATGCATTGGACAGTCAGGAAAATTACTGTAAACGCAAACCACGGCTTTTTATTTAATCATGTGCAATTGTGCAGTGCAAGAGCATTCAGGTACAGGCGAGCAATCAAGAGAATTACATAATTCCACGTGTGAAAAGGTGACGTCTGTTAGAAATATCAATTCACTGCATCCTTCTGCTGGTTGGTCTTAATTTCCCTCTGCTATAATCTCTCATATCATTGCCTTTGTGCTCCCCACCACATATTATTTTCTGGGCGATTGCCTCGCCAGATTATCTGAAAACAGGAGACAGTTCAACCATGTGACAGAGGTTTAAGTCCATTTTTCAAAAGCCCCGTATCAACGGACTGCGTTTTTTGTGTTTTGCTCCAGTTAAATGTGCATTGGCCATGGATTTCAAAATACATTTTATTAACTGACTGAATGGCGGCATATGCACAAGGCTACCACCAACAAGTTCTTGACAAATACAGGAATGTATAAAAATAATAACATGATCGAAAAAATCACAAGGCGAACAATGGTAGAATGGCAGTTTTGCTTAAAGACATCCAACAATCTTCGGGATCATCGATGACAATGATAGGGCATCTTTCGTTACGAATCAGGCTCGGTAACACAGTCCAGCGGCAGCGCAGTCGCCGTTTGTTGACGGTTCGAATCCAGCAACCGCCCTGGTGATTGCTGCGGGTGGAATCACCGTGATGGTGCTATGCACCATCCACTTCACTTCACAGTGGGCGTTAAAACTCCTGGTGATGTCATTCACAAGAGTAGGCCACTGTGTCCCAGTGTCAGGGACCAAATGTGCCAAATTCTAAAATGACCCGCAAATCACTCAATTGTTTTATTTTATTATTTTATTCTCATTCTACGTGACTTTACCGAAAGAACCAAAGAAGATGGGATTACACAGTACGCAGCAATCATGGCCCACTTCTGGCAGACCACCAATGCCCCAGGTCCCTCTTACAAGACGAGACCATGCCGACCCCTTTTGAGATCTCATCCGTGCTGAAACGAAACGAAGCCAGCGGCAACACGGGTGCTCACCTGCAGCATGAGCGCATGGGGGGAGTGTACGAAGATGGAGGCATTGTCCCGAGGTGATGACTCCAGGCAGAGCTGGGCGTCGGTGGCCGTGGGGTTGTAGGTGAACACGATGCTGCTGGCCAGCTTGCCGTCGTACAGCACCTGCTTGTGATGCTCAGCGAGCAGGATGTCGCTCTCGGATTTGAACTTGAAAGTGCTCTGAAATATATATGTGGGAGGGGGGGGGGGAATAAAAACACATGCACAGCAATAAATATATTTTTTCATTTGCCTTTTTTTTCAAATTTCATACGAGTAATGCTTGTCAGCGTCACGTCCTCAGACAAAGTATACATTGGGAACTGTCAAGGAGCAGTCCGCTGCCCCGGGTGTTAGAGACCATCCCTGCAAGAGGATACATCGTAGAACATAGAACCACATATCCACACTAGGAGGGGCGCATGGTTCGACTGTTACGTTCGTTGTTTGACAGTCAACCTGAACTGAAACTTCACCATAGTCAGTGAAAAACCAAATTAAATATGATGGTATTTTCGTGCAGTCATTCATGACTGGACCAAGACCATTAATTCATCAATTTGAGAATCCAGTTTAATTGTAGATGTATACCTGGATTCGAACCCAGGATCTAAGTGGTTGGCTTAGTCAGTTTAACACGTAGGCTTTCACGACCAATATTATTCATAATAAAGGTTTTTGGGTTAGATCGCGTTATTTATAAATGTGTCGTAACCCTCCACCACACGACACGGCCAATCAGCAAAAAATTGTCACGTTGACAAAAGATAAATAGTTCACTACTTTAGCCCACCGGTGTGTTGAAGAGTGAATCCACAACATTTACAGTTTGAGTACGAAATTGAGAGAAATAGAAATAACTTTAATCGCTCTGACAGCTACAGGCTTAGTGCAGCTTGGAAGCGTATTACTAAATAATACATATTACAATTCCTTATAGGGAAAACACATACTAATTAACGGATTACTAACGTAGCATAATCACAATAACACACATTACAACTAATTACTAATCTAAAACTCATTACTAATCATAACCATTGACTGATTACGAATCATATTCTTGGTTCTTTCGGTAAAGTCACATTGAAGGGAAACAATAAAATAATAAAATATATAAAACAATAAAATTCTCACGACGTTTCGACTGTAACACAAACAGTCATCATCAGGTGTGAAAACCAACGGCAAGAACATTTGAAAGAAGTGGCGGTTTGTATTTATTTTTAAACGTTAGCACCACGGATAGCGATTTGACAGTTTGTTTAGAAGGACGAGTCCATCTATGTTCGGAAAAGAGGAGGGGGGAGACGAAAAATGAATGTATGCTGTCTGAAAGCCACCGTAAGCGTGAACAATCAATTAAGACCCGAAATGGTTTATCAAATCCTTCCAATGATTGCCAAGCCAGAATCCATCTTCTCGGTTGAAATTGCCTCTGTGTTTGTAAATGTGGATAGCCTCAAGAACGAATCTCTCATGGTAGCCAGATGGCTTGCAAAGAACCTCTGTCTTGGAGAAGTCAATGTCATGTGAGCCTACTGAATTATAACAGTGATCTGCCACGGCTTTCATAACTGCAAGGATTCATCTTCTTTGGTTCTTTCGGTAAAGTCACGTGGAATGAGAATAAAATAATAAAATAACACAATAAACGTCGTGAGAATTTTATTGTGTTATTTTATTATTTTATTCTCATTCTACGTGACTTTACCGAAAGAACCAAAGAAGACGTCGTGATAATTTTATTGTTTTATATATATATTTTAATATTTTATTGTTTCCCTTCAACGTGACTTTACCGAAAGAACCAAGAATATGAATCACTGCAGTCACGAAAGCCTTAAATCAAAATTCGATTACGAATCGATTATATAATTACAATACACCCCCTTCAGCTCAAATCACTGCACCTGAATGAGTTAAATGATGATGTCACCCTGCTGCTCTATTTAAGACCGGGAGCAAGTGAGGGCTTTACCATTCTGGCGAATTGCCCGATGATGCTGGATGTAATTACCAGCGAAACGTCGTACTCAAACTGTAAATGTTGTGGATTCACTCTTCAACACACCGGTGGGCTAAAGTAGTGAACTATTAGTCTTTTGTCAACGTGACACTTTGTTTTTATGATTGGCCATGTCAGGTGGTGGAGGATTACGACACATTTATAAATAACGCGATCTAACCCAAAAACCTTTATTATGAATGGTTGGCTTAGTGCTCTGAACATTGAGATATCTGATGATGAATCACTAATTGCCCTGGCTGCCTGGACAGGTGGACATTTGGTTTGGAGCTCTTGCCTTTTAAGAAGACGGCCACAAATTGAAATCCAAGTCGGGGGTTTATGAAAACGAATACCACTCTGCGGGGTGCCAATAATGATATTTATAAAGACATAGGACGATGGCATTCCCACCACTCGCTCAGGAGCGCCATAGGAGAAGAGTAATGCCCAATACATATTTGAGCATCGAGACAGTTTTTTGGGATATGAATTGGCTTCATTATTAGCACGAATTGAATAGAAAAGTAATCATTTTAATAACCATAGTACCACTCGACACAGCCAATTAGTAAGATTTGTCACGTAAACAAAACATGCCAATTAGTTACTAGTTCAGCACACCGGTGTGTTGGAGAGCAAACCCACAACATTTAACAATTCGAGTACAAGACATTAATGCGATCTAACCAAAAAAACCCCTCTATTATGGATAATATTTGTCGTAAAAGTCTACCACGTGTTAAATTTGAAAAACATTGTCAAGTACTTAGGTGTAATCAAACGAGCCTGAGCAGCATTTAAATTGGTGGCCAATGCTAATAAAGCCACGACCTATACAATCTGGAACAGAGCAACCTCGTGCTTGAATGACAGGCTCAAACAACTCATTCTGCGCTCTTCAGTATTATTTGGCCTTTTTCAAAAGCTTCTTGATAGTATTAAATTAGCTTTTCGATGGCGGACAAAGATGGGCAAGTAGGAGCGAAGTATTCGAGCATTATGAAGCTAATGAGGGGGGCATTATGCAGGTGGGTTGGAAGCCAGTAAATGGATCTGATAAAACAGGATACACGGTTATAAATTACATGAGCTGTTTTCAATTACTGCTGAACTGCTAAAGCAGGAAAGACAAACACCCTTTTGCACTTGTGAATTATCTAACTCAGCTGTGCGGGGGCAAGTGGAACCAGGCGAGACGTTGATTAATGTTCCTTTTATTTACAACTTAACATGCATTTAGCATGCTTGAAATTAATTAACTCATGACTGCAGCGTTCTATACGGTACTTATAAACAAGTTGAACTTTAAATAGAACAAGTGATAAAGTATCTCCATACTCAAAAGATTGGTTGTTTGCCGATCATCTCCATTGGCTGCACCCTGAACAGGTCACGGACATGTCACATTGCTATGGCGGGATGAGTCTGTTAACCCTTTCCCATTCCGATGACGTAAGTGTACATCATCAGTTTTTTTATGGAACGGAATCGGACGAAAAACTAAAATCAAATAATTCTATCAGTCCGTCTTCAGGTCATAAGACATACCGAGGCTCCCACAAGGCCACGCGGGAGGGGGTGTGGCACAGTTTGGCGCCAGCTATCATAGAGTGCGGTTATGTCACAACAGTTATCTGCAGAAAGTACAATGTATTTTAAAACAACGGAGCTATACCTCTCTAAGTTAAATTAATGCTACCGCTTGCACATTCCAAAATTCAGTGGTGGACTTGACTCCCACCTAGCAACTTGCAGATGTTTCGGAACGGGAAAGGTTTAATTGGGCAAATACTGTTGACTTCAGTGACTCTGGAGAAAGGATGAAATAGGCTGGGTAGATTCACAACCAGGATTTAACGTGCAATATTTTGTTTGTGTTTTGAGCACTCTGTGACAAGTTTCCACCCACCCAAAAAAATACCAACTCAAGTCCACTTTAAGCAAAACCAATTATTCTACGATTTGTGGATGTCTCAAATGTTGGCCAGATGGTGACAGGGTTTGTTGAAAGAATTAGGCAAAGTCACAAATTGAGAGTCACCAGGTCTCAAACTAAATCGGAGATACATTTTGTATAGTTATAAAATTAATTACATTTTAGGTATAATAAGTTACATCAAACTTTGCTGGTATACAAAGATTCACCATTTGTCATTATTAGATATAAAATATTATTGTTTTTACTGCTTAGACCATTCGACAAATTGCTTATTTTCTGCAGTTGTTCAAGGGATTTTAGAAATGGCTACATCTTCATATTTTAAAATGAGTACATCTCAAAATTCACCAACAGTGGATGAGTACAGAAACACAAACCACAGAAATCTCCTCTTTAGCCTCAAGTGTGGGTGCAAGTTTAGTGACATCAGGGATGTCACTGTACGGTGCCGGCCTGAGAGGGCCACGGCACGCGATGCACTGCTTCGCGTGCACCCCGTAGGCGGGTGTAGTACCAGCCCTAGCGGGGCTTGGCGTGCGCTGGGATAGCGCGGGCACCACGCACAGCGTGTAGTGCGGGCTCCCACAGGGGGGAGTAGGAGAGTGTCAGCCCAGGGGCAGGGTTGTCCCGGGCCATGGCACTCTGGTTGACCCCGCGGACACGTGATCTGGAGTGTCCACAGAGAGGCCCCCAGGTGGGGGGACGAGGGGGTGATCACGAGAGGGAGCTAGAAGGCTCCAGAAGGTGAGGGCGGAGCAGCCCTGACCCGTGGGGGGATATAAGGCAGGTCCCTGAGAGGGACCGGGGTCGCTGCATTCTACAAGCTGAAGCTCTACGTCCGACAAGCTGGAAGCTCTACAGGCATCAGCACGTGGTCGGGACCCGAGTGAGGGTCCGACCCTTCGTAGCTGTAACTCCGCCGTATAGGGTAGTTAGTTGGGTGGCCACCACCCTAGGCTGTATCTGGTGAAAGGGCAGTTACCCCTTGTGTTATGTGTTGATGTTACAATAAATGTGATCCCTCTAAAGAACAACGTCTGTGACTCAGTTGGACTCACTACACAAGTACTATTTTTTTAGCACGAATTAAAGCCGGCATTGCAAACAACTGAAGTAAACTATGAACTAAACTATTTTTTTATTTTAGCAGGTAAGGCCCACTGAGCTATTTCGCTCTTTTTCAGAAGCAACCCGGCCACAAATTATAGCGCAACGAAGTGGCTTATCGCG